GGGGGTGACTAGTGACAGGGGGGTGACTAGTGACGGTGGGGGGGTGACTAGTAACAGTGGGGGGGTGACTAGTGACGGGGGTGACTAGTGACAGGGAGGTGACTAGTAACAGTGCGGGGGTGACTAGTGACAGGGGGGTGACTAGTGACGGTGGGGGGGTGACTAGTAACAGTGGGGGGGTGACTAGTGACAGGGGGGTGACTAGTAACAGTGGGGGGTGACTAGTGACGGGGGAGGGGGGTGATTAGTGACAGGGGAGGTGACTAGTGACAGGGGTGACTAGTGACAGGGGAGGGGGGTGACTAGTGACAGGGGGGTGACTAGTGACAGGGGGGTGATTAGGACGGGGGAGGGGGGGTGATTAGAGCCTACCTGTGCTTCCTCTGCTCTCCCTGGCTGCTGCTCCTTCCCCTCGCTGGGCTCTGTGTGAGAGGAGTAAACAGGAAGTGATGTCACTTCCTGTCCCTCTCCCATCACACAGAGCACCGCGGGACTGGGAGAAGGAGACCTGGCAGAGAGCTGCTGAAGCTGCCAGGTCTCATAGGGGGTGATTTACAGGGCGGTAGGTTGTGGGGCCCCAAGCTGCATCAGGGGCCCCACAACCTATAAATGAAATAGTTTTATTTTTTTTAATTTTGCCGTTCCAGTTGGAGAGATCTCTGATCTCTCCAGCTGGAGCAAGGCTGTGCTGCCGGGCCCCTGACTGCCTCGGGCCCTCGGTCCATGACCGATATGCCCGAGTGGTCAGTCTGCCCCTGGTAACATTAATATCATACGCTATGTCCTTAGTACATCAGGGTTATTTGACATTTCAAGGTGTTTATCCTTTCCTTCTCCTTTCCTTAGCAAAACATATAATGAAAGAGAAAAGCCCCTACATATAGAAAGCCTATAAGACAATGGTAATAATAATAAAATTAAACGTTTTGTCCTGGGTACAGCAAGGTTTTGAATCTTTATTTATTTATTTTTTCCCCTTCCCTGTTAGATGGTGTGATTTTTTCTCATGACAGGGTACAGTGTCGGTATAGACCGGTTTATTTGATGGGTTTTCGTTAATGTCCGGTTTTAGTGGGTGTGTTGGGAATTTAGCCCTCTGCCATCGTTGGGGGTGGTCTCTATGCGTTGGTGGCCGTGTGGGGACATTGCTAACGAACATTAAACCTGTAGGGTATTGAGGCAGCTTGGGCTTTTTAGGTATATCGGCCTGTGACACTTTAAGTTGTTAGCGGTTTGTATTGTTTTTCGTATTGGGGGTCTGGTGGCTGCCAGGTCATAAGGAGGGTCTGTCTGCCGAGTAGTTGGATTGGGCCTTTCCCTTCGGGGTGAATAGTGTTCAACCTGGGCCTAGTGACGGTGCCGGTGGGTAACTTTACCTATAGAGGGGGACAAGGGTACCTTATGGGGTAGGTGTTTTAGGCCCCGGCCTATAGTTCGGAATGGTCTTTATATAGGATCATCAACGTTCAAACCTCCATATTAACATTATAACAGAAACATGTATAAACATTAAAACATTTCAGGGTATACAGGCCTGGGTTATTATTTGGTTTTCTGCGGTGGTTTCCGCCAATCAGAATAAGAGTCCAGCGGCTAC